TCTACCCACCCCTGCATGTCCCGGAAGCAGCGGATGCACAGCAGCGACTTCTTGTCGGTGGAGAACATGATGTAGGGCTCGGCGTGCAGCGCTGCGCGGGGGGCTCTGGTGAGGGGCTGCGGCGAGGGCGGGGGCAGTGCCCGCCCCTGTCCCCTCCCCGTCCGCTCGCGAGTCCCCACCGGGCGCGTCGCACTCACTGCACTTCTGGAGCACGTCGCGGCTGCGCTGGCCCAGGGCCACGATGTCGTGGCGCGCGAACATGCGTGCCCGGTGCGTCTCGTCGCGGCAGCGCGCGCAGAGCGGCTGCCCGCACGTGTTGCAGAAGTAGGTGGTCTCAGCATCCTGCGGGCCCAGCTCAGGGTCAGCCCCCCACCGGCGGGAGCCTGAGCCAGACCACCGCCGGCGCAAGACATCAGCCCCTGGGTGTCCCTGAGCCGCTCGCAGCCTGGGGCAGGCCGGCAGCTCAGTGCAGCCCTATCGCGCAATCCCGACGCTCTAATGTGCCCACTTTACAGATGAGAACCCCCATGGAGTTGGGGGAGGGCAGAAACTGCATTTGCAAAACATCTTACCTACAGCAAAAAGTGTGTGTGTGTGTGTGTGTGTGTGTAGACCTCTCAAGTCTCCCTTGTCACCCTCAATAGTAGCCAAATGGCGGTCCCCACCCTGGCCAAGTGGAGGCCAAATCTGGCTGGGAGGGGAAAGGGAGTGAGGACTTGTCGGTTCCCTTCCCCAGGCCAGACCCAGGGCTGAGAGTCCAGCGCATGGACTGCAGCCACGGCACTGACCGAAACAATGGCGGTAAAAGCACAAGTTCTTACTTGGGCATTCCAGGCCGTTTCCTCTGCTTACCTCCAGCTGGCCACCTCTGTGTTGCTGTGCCATACATGTCCTAGCGCTTGCCCTGCACCCCCAGCTCCTGCAGGGCCATCCTGGGAACTGGGAATACCTGTCCAGCCTCCAGAGGCCAGAGTCCCACATGCCCTTCACAGCCTGGCCTGAAGCCTGCCCCCAGCTCCTTATTGTTGTTGTTTTCTGTGTGTGTGTTTTTCTTAGACTCAGGGGCAGGGTCATCCCTCCCCAAAAGCACACTGTCCTCACTTCCCTTGGGCTGTAGGGAAGCTACCCAGGTAGCAGTGAGCCTCAGGGGCTGGCCCAGCCCTGTGCACTGGACCTCCCTTCCTGTGCCAGTTCTCAACTCCACTCTCCCCAAATTGAATGGCCTTAACCTCCGCCACCATCTGGCTTTTGGCTTAAGTCATTCCTTGTGGACCTTAGTCTCCCCACCTGTAAAGTGGGGCCCACATTTGGGATTCAGGGTGACTTAAAGTGGTGTTGGAGGATCCCCTGATGGATAATCCTCTGAGGACATGTTGGGCACACTCTGCCAGCATCGGGACCCTGCGACCTGGCACCCTCGCCTCCCCCAGGCGCCCCTGCCTGCTTGCTGCACTCCAAGTCGCAGTTGGCACAGCACACCACCTCCAGGCCATCCCCGGAGCTGTCCACGAGGAACTGCAGCAGCCGGTCCACTGGAGGGAGCCCGCTGGGGCCTTTCACCACTGTCTGGTGTCTGTGGAGAAGCTGCAGCCAAGATCAAGATGCCCCTTCCCCATGGCTCCCTACCCCTTCTCACCCCCACCTTCCAGCCTGGAACTAAAAATAGGGTGGGAGGTGGGGTGCCGGCAGGCTGGCATCTGCTATAAATATCTCAGCCACTGCTCACTCTGACAGGGTCCTGGGAGAATCCTGGGAGGTCAGGGGGCTGTGGAACTGGGAGGACAAGGCAGAAGCCTTCCCTCAAGCCCCTCTCACGGCGTTGGGGAAATTTATGGCCATGCCCCGGTAACTTGAACCAGCATCACCTGCTTAGGCTGAGCTAAGAGTTCAGGGACCCCCAGTGAGTTACTGGGAGTGTCCTGATGCTGTGCTGAGATGGAGTGCTCTAGTAACCCTAAGTAGGGACAGGACTTGTGCTCTAGCCCCGCCCTTGCCCTCTGACTTTCTAGGGGACCCCTGGGCCAGTAACCCCAAACCTCAGTTAGTCTGACCTACAAAATGGGCGGGAACCGGTGCATTCTCCCGCGGAGAGGTGGGGGCTGGGTGCGGCCTTTCCCGCCCTCTCTGCCGGGAGTCAGAGCCCTGCCCTCCCCGCACCTAGGTGCCCGCCCAGGCGCGGCGAGTGTCCCCTCCCGGGCAGGGGCTCCGAGGCACTCACTGGCACAGCGGGCAGGCGAGGCGGCCGTCGGCGGCGCGGCCGCGCAGGCAGCCGGCGCAGAAGTGGTGGAAACAGTCCAGCAGGCACGGGCGCTCGTACTGCGCGTGGCACAGCGGGCACACGAGCGGGTGTCCGCTCGCAGCGTCCAGGACGCCTGGACC